TTACAGTCTAGTGTCCCCGTCACTATACTGGGGCGTTAGGACCCACACAGACCGCAGGAGAGCGCCCCCTACTGGCCCAACTCACACCTCTCCCAGCAGCAGCCTCAGCTCTCCCAGGAGTCTCCCCTCCAGGTACTGGCCAGGCCCACACTGCTGGGCTCCAGTGGGGCTGTGAGCTGGGAGCTGCAGGGTGATACTGCTGTTGGCACCTACTCCACGCTGGCTCACAGAGGCGTCTGCTGGAGGGGAGGAGTGTAAATTCACAGCGGCGGGGGTGACACACACACACCCCCCCCATACTGCTGCCTTCCTGAACACCCCTCTGCTTGAACAGGATATTAAAGCCCAATTATTGTGCTACTTACTGTCACTAATTTTCCCAACCTGGGTCATTAAACGAGACGGGTGGGATCGCAAGTCTCTGGGTAAAAGCGTCAGACAAGTCAATCAGCAATTAGCAGTAATTAGTCATTCAAGGGAAGGGAGACAGGAGTGAGGGACAGGATGAGTGTAATGCAAATCACTGAGAAACAGCGCCCCCCTCCACAGCACAGGCTCAGCGGTGGAACTACAACCCGCCACCGGGCGCGGTGACGACTTGCCTTCAGGATCATGTTGAAGTCGTAGTCGGAGCCCATGAGCTCCCCCCGCTGGGAGTCCAGAATGGCGCAGGCCAGCAGCAGGTGGAAGTTAGCGCAGGGCAGACCCGTCCACATCACCTGAGGAAACGGGGGTGTTCACGGAGTTCAGGACACAGACCAGGGCGACGTTGTGTGCGAGTTTCTCTCAGTGTCGGTGTGTCACTGTGTGTCTCAGTGTAGCTGTCTGTGTGTCTCCGTTTTTCTGTCTGTCTCAGTGTGTCAGTGTGTCTGTCTCAGTGTGTCAGTGTACCTGTCTGTGTGTCTCAGTGTGCCTGTCTGTCTCACCTCCCAGAGTGTCAGAATGTCCTCGAAGGAGAACTCTCTCTTGAACCAGATGAGGAGCCACCGGAAGCAGAAACACAGCGAACCAGAGTCCTGGGAGTCTGAGACAGACAGGGGGGTTAACGGAGGCAGGCAGACAGGCAGCAGTCTCACACACAGAGAGCAGACAGGCAG